GTTCCTGCAATACTTGCTCCCTTTCCCCTATATTGCATCAGGGGCCTGTGTGGGGCTGGTGTGATGAATGCCGCAACCTTCCAGTTTCTCTCCATATTTATCCACCTGGAACAGAAGTATCCAGGCATCTCTGGGTTATTTGTGGGGCATAGGAATTCGTTCATTCCCCCCCCCCAAAAAAAAATAGTCCGGCCCCCCACAAGGTCTGGCGGAAAGTGAACCAGCCCCCTGCTGAAAATGTTTCCTGACCCCTGATCTAGAGTGTACACAAAAACAGCTGTATGTTAGGTTGCCTTATACTGCTATCCTTATGCACACTTACTAGTAAAATGGTTAGAATGAAATACAGTGGTACCTCGGATTAAGAACTTAATTCGTTCTGGAGGTCTGTTCTTAACCTGAAACTTTTCTTAACCTTAAGCACCACTTTAGCTAATGGGGGCCTCCCACTGCTGCTGCTGCGCCGCCACACGATTTCTGTTCTCATCCTGAAGCAAAGTTCTTAACCAAGGTACTATTTCTGGGTTAGCAGAGTCGCAACCTGAAGCGTATGTAAACGAGGTACCACTGTATTGTTTCACTTCAATTGTGCATGAGAGAGGGGGATGAGGACAACTGCAGTCTAGGGACTGGTCCCTGTTTCCCAACCCAGCAGTTGCTTCCTATGGCTTCTGCAGTGTCTTTTGCATGGGAGTTCATTTGTTCTTAGATGAGTCACCTAATTTTCCAAACTGAAAAATTAAACAGCATGGTTCCCCCGAGCAGCAAATGCACGTGTACATCCATATGGAGTGATAATATTTCTAATTTTGCATCTATACATGGAAATCGGCATATACAAAATTTTAGTGTTCTTATGTGATGTATGGGAGTTCCTAGAACCAAGTCTTATTATTATTATTATTACTTTAGGATTTCTTCAGATTAGATGTTAAACCTATATGCCAGGTCCTCTTTTGTGTGTGCACTTTACAAATGAACACGTGAACTCCATTGGACCCGCTTCAGGAAGAGGCTGACAAGAGAATCGCATAATTCCGCGCAGGCGCTGTCCTATTAGCACCCTTTTGTCCCAGAAACCCTTGCGCTCTCAGTCCACTCCCTCCCTCGCTCCTGTCTACTTTGATCCTTGCGGCTGAATCGGGGAGAAAAGGGGCGGGGCGGGGATGAGAGTGGCGGCGTCCTAGCCCCGCCCCCAAACAACTCGCCATTGTCCTGTCAGCAACCGCCGCTAGAGGTCGCTTAGGAACCGCTTCTCTCTTCCTCCTTCCCCCACACTTCGGCCACCTCACCACCTTTGGACGGCGGCGGCGGCGGCGACCGCTTAGCGCAGGAGCGCTCGAGGCCCTGCGGCGCTCGCTCGCTCTCTCTGACGGGGATGCTTCGGAGAGGCCCGGCGGAGCCATGGACTTGGACGAGGCCTTCGGCTTGGTGGGGGAGTTCGGCCCCAGGCAGAAGCGACTCACCGCGTTCCTGGTGCTGCTGCAGGTGGGGGCGACGCGCGGGCCCGCCCGGCTCCTCCTCCCCCGCCCGGCCAGATGGCGGTTGCCCCCATAATTCCCTCCGCCTCAGCCCCTTTTGTCACGGGGTGTGTGGCGCGTGGCGTGCGTTGCCAAGGCAACAGCCAGGGCGCTACGTGGACCTGGGCGCGGGGCAGGCAGGAAGCGGCTGCGCTGCCTCGTGGAGGTTGGTGGCGCCTCCCGAGGGAGGATGCTGAGTTTGGGGTGGGGGGGGGCTCAGAGGGCAGCGACGTCGCTTGTTCCTGCAACGCAGTTGCTGGTGAGAAGGATGCTACTTCCTTTGGAAGCACCTGACCAGCAGGACTCGCCCTCCGGGGCGCTGGGTGTGTGGAGAGGGGAGAGACCTCCCCCTGTGGGAATATTTCATAGAATTGTAGAGGGGACCCTGAGGGTCATCTAGTCCACCTCCTGCCCAACGTGGGGCTCCGACCCACAACCCTGAGGTTAAGAGTCTCATGCTCTGCACGTGCTGCGGAGAGGCTTGTCAGCCTGAGAAAGTAGCCCGTTTGGAGAAGGAAAACATTGGTGCTAAACCTCCGCAGCCATGAGCGATATCTTGGGGAGAAGAAAAGGCTGATGACCTATCCCCCCTCTACTAATTGACCAACTCACCCCGCCCCCGAAAAGTGCTGCTTAAGATTTTGAAGTCACTTGTTGATTTTATCTTGTGTTTTTATGTTGTGAACTTCCCTGAAATCTGTGTATGAAGGGTGGTATACAGATTTAAAAATAAATAAATCTTTTGAAGATGGCATTTCTAGTTTATCATTCCCAAGTTGTAATGGTGTTCAAAGTAATATTAATAACATGGTTATTACACTGGCACAAATGTTATGTTATGGTTCTGATTAGTGGATGTATGCTGGGCTACTCTAGATACAGTAAGCCCACAATTTTACATTCATTTAACTTGTGCGCATTCAACTTCAGGCTGGTGGCAAAAAAATTAAAAGGGCAGAGGAGGACGAGGTTCCAGGGAAATAACTTTGGCAATCCGACCCACCATTGAACCCATGGGTTCTAACTACATAATTTAGGAAAGAGTGTAAGTTGTGGCTTGCTGTATGAGTGCTTTGAGTTCCACTGTTGTTAAAGGCCACAAAAAATAATATGTGAAAAGGAGATGTGATCTTTTAATGGAAATTAAGATGTAACTACAACACTGCTGTCATGACTTGGGGATACTGCATTATCATTTCCATAATTGGGGCCCTTATTTGAAAGATTATTTAAAAACTTGGAGAGCTTCTTACATACTAAACACTGATTAAAGAGCTGGTTGAATATGATAATGGAAAATTCACGTCATTGAATATAATAAAAAGTATATTACTAAGGAAGATTTTCAAGACCCCCAAATCCCACCCCGTCCTTAAGAATAGATAGAACAGGAGATTTTACCATACCCTGTTGGTTTTAAATTGCCAGGCATTTCAAACTGTGTGATCTTAAGCATAAGCTAAGTCCAGTGGGACAAACTCCATGTGCATGGGGCTGTAGATTCACTCAGTGGCAAATAATTAGTCTTTTTGTTGTTGTTGGAATGCCTTTGTATGAACATTTGGAAGATGCTAATTGTTTTGATGGCCAGTGTGTTGTGAAGTAGAAGATTATTGCATACTGCCTGTGTGGTCAGCTACACAATAGACCCATTGCAGGATTCTTGTCAGTGAGAGAAAGTCCAGCAAGCATCAGATCTTGCCTTTACAGAAACAGTGGTCTCAAGTACAGTGCTTTACAGTGGTGCCTCGCAAGACGAAATTAATTCGTTCCGCAAGTTTTTTCTTCTTGCGAGTTTTTCGTCTGCGATGCACGGTTTCCCATAGGAATGCATTGAAAATCAATTATGCGTTCCTAGGGAAACCACCTTCAGACCAGGTCCGGGGACAGTCTGTCCCCCGACCTCTTCTGAAGGCTGGGGGGGGGGGGAAAGGGCTTTTTTCCCACTGCCAGCCTTCAGAAGGCTGTTCTGAAGGCTGGCGGTGGGAAAAAAAGCCCTTCTTCCCACCTCCGCCCCGCAAGCTCCGGCGGACCTCCTGCGGGCGCCCCAAGCCTCGCGCACCCGGCGGGACCTCCTGCCGGGCGCACGAGGCTTGCAGACACTCGCCCGAAGCAGGGGAAAGCCCTCCGGAGGGCTCCCCGTGCTTCGGGTGACAGGCTGCCGCCCCAAGCCTCGCGCACCCGGGTGGGACCTCCTGCCGGTGCGCGAGGCTTGCTGACACTCGCCCGAAGCAGGGAAGCCCTCCGGAGGGCTCCCCGTGCTTTCGGCAACAGGCTGCCGCCCCAAGCCTCGCGCAACCCGGCGGGACCTCCTGCCGGGTGCGCGAGGCTTGCAGACACTCCAAAGCAAGGGGAGCCCTCACCGAAGGGCTCCCCGTGCTTCGGGTGACAGGCTGCCGCCCCAAGCCTCGCGCACCCGGTGGGACCTCCTGCCGGGAGTGCGCGAGGCTTGCTGACACTCGCCCGAAGCAGGGGAAGCCTCCGGAGGGCTCCCCGTGCTTCGGCAACAGGCTGCCGCCCCAAGCTCGCGCACCGGCGGACCTCCCTGCTGGGTGCGCGAGGCTTGCAGACACTCCAAAGCAAGGGGAGCTCTCCGAAGGGCTCCCCGTGCTTCGGGTGACAGGCTGCCGCCCCAAGCCTCGCGCACCCGGTGGGACCTCCTGCCGGGTGGGCGCGAGCTTGCTGACACTCGCCCGAAGCAGGGAAGGCCTCCGGAGGGCTCCCCGTGCTTCGGGCAACAGGCTGCCGCCCCAAGCCTCGCTCACCCGGCGGGACCTCCTGCCGGGTGCGCGAGGCTTGCTGACACTCGCCCGAGAGCAGGGGAAGCCCTCCGGAGGGCTCCCCGTGCTTCGGCAACAGGCTGCCGCCCCAAGCCTCGCGCCACCCGGCGGGACCTCCTGCCGGGTGCACGAGGCTTGCAGACACTCGCCCAAAGCAAGGGGAGCTCTCCGGAGGGCTCCCCGGTGCTTCGGGTGACAGGCTGCCGCCCCAAGCCTCGCGCACCCCGGCGGGACCTCCTGCCGGGCGCGCGAGGCTTGCAAACACTCGCCCAAAGCAAGGGGAGCTCTCCGAAGGGGCTCCCCGTGCTTCGGGTGACAGGCTGCCGCCCCAAGCCTCGCACACCCGGTGGGACCTCCTGCCGGGTGCGCGAGGCTTGCAGACACTCGCCCGAAGCAGGGGGAAGCCCTCCGGAGGGCTCCCCGTGCTTCGGGCGACAGGCTGCCGCCCCAAGCCTCGCGCACCCGGCGGGACCTCCTGCCGGGCGCGCGAGGCTTGCAGACACTCGCCCAAAGCAAGGGGAGCTCTCCGAAGGGCTCCCGTGCTTCCGGGTGACAGGCTGCCGCCCCAAGCTCGCGCACCCGGCGGGACCTCCTGCCGGCGCGCCGAGGGCTTGCAGACACTCGCCCAAAGCAAGGGGAGCTCTCTGAAGGGGCTCCCCGTGCTTCGGGTGACAGGCTGCCGCCCCAAGCCTCGCGCACCGGCGGGACCTCCTGCCGGGTTGCGCGAGGCTTGCAGACACTCGCCCAAAGATTTTAAAATGCTGGGGGTCAGGGAGCGAAGCGTTCGCTCCGCCCGCCAGCATTTTAAGATCGCCGGGGCAAGCGGAGAAGTCTCCGCTGTCCCGGGAAGGCAGGCGGGGGGGAGCAAAGACTTTTGCCCCCGCCGGCCTTCAGAAGAGGTCCAGGACCTCTTCTGCAAGGCCGGCTGTGGGCGAAAGTCTTTGCTCCCGACCGCCAGCAATTTAAAAACAGGTCCCGGAGATTTCCCTATGGGCTTTCGTCTTGCGAAGCAAGCCCCATAGGGAAATTCGTCTTGCGAAGCGCCTCCAAAACAGAAAACCCTTTCGTCTTGCGGGTTTTCCGTCTTGCGAGGCATTCGTCTTGCGGGGTACCACTGTACATGATTGGTCATCTTCCAGCTGATTTATTGTTTAATCAACTAGATTTTCTTGGTTGATAACATTAGCTTATTTCCTTTGCTGACTGGGCAATCTGTTATATTTTTACTTTACTCTATCTCCAGGGAGATCTTAACAACATTTTACCTTTATTATATCCCTATGAGTAACAGAGACAGTTATTTGCAATTCTTCATCCAAACCCAGGTGCCTGGCAGCTATATCTGCTGCTTACCTGTTTCCTTAATTGCACCTTCCTGTCTTCTTTAACCTGCTCCAAGCTGAACTTTGGCCTAACATTTGTTTTAATCAGTCTAATTAACCTTTATTTTCAGAACCTAATCCTCCAATAGATGAAGTCATACAAAAACCAGGAGTTGTGCAGAGATTTGTGAAATTTCTAGAAAAGAATGACAATTGCACTCTTCAGGTGAGTTCGCTTAATAATATATGTGCTAAGGCATTAGGAAAATGTCAACATTTGAAGAATTCAGATCCTTCTGCTGGGAGATGGTGGTGTTTTTTTCTCTCAGACATACCAGACATGCAGAGACAAATACACACACACAATAAAAAATACAAATTAAAGGTAGCCATGTTGACTTTCCTTGTAATTTTGCCTTTGGGTGGAGCCTGAAGGGCATTTATTCCATTGTAGCATCCTACATTTGAAATTTCCTGCCTCTGGAGGTGCAACAGGTGCTTACAGTGGCTCAGTTTTGGTGCCAGTTGAAAGTGTGCCTGTTTTGTTTGGCTTTTGGGTCTCCATAAGCTGCATGGTCCATGGGGTCACGAAGAGTCGGACACGACTAAATGACTAAACAACAAAGCTGCATGGTTGACTTTTTTTCTGTAGTCATGGTTGTATGATAAGGTTTTCTCCTGCTGTATTGGCTTTTCTCTGTGTTGAATATGTTTGTGGGTCTTAAATGTATATGTTAACTTGCTTTCTCAAATTTAATGTTACATTGTGTCAACTGCCCAGGGATTATTATTTTTTTTTAAAAAAATGAAGAGCTGTATGGTATATGCAACAAATAATAATAAAGGAGGCAGCACCTGGCCTGATGCAGTCGTGCAACAAGCAATAGTGCTGCATTAGAAGATCAGGAAATAAGGATTTGAATTCTGCTTTTTGCACATGCTTCTAGTCCTCTCCTCTGTATTGGGGAGGGATACTGGTTGCTCACTGGAAGGACAGATCGTGAAGCTGAGGCTCCAATACTTTGGCCACCTCATGAGAAGAGAAAACTCCCTGGAAAAGACCCTGATGTTTGGAAAGATGGAGGGCACAAGGAGAAGGGGATGACAGAGGACGAGATGGTTGGATTGCATTCTCGAAGCTACCAGCATGAGTCTGACCAAACTGCGGGAGACAGTGGAAGACAGAAGTGCCTGGCATGCTCTGGTCCATGGGGTCACAAAGAGTCAGACACGACTAAACGACTAAACAACAACAACTGGTTGTGGGAGAGAGATTGTGATCTGTGCCCCAGTACATCTACGAGGCAGCTTTGCAGAATACTTCCATTGAGAGATATCCCAATGTTTCATTGTACACATGTCAAAACATGCATACACAAACACTGTAAAGTGGTATGTAAGTGGCGGCAACATTGGACTGGACCTCTGGCTGCTCATGCAGCTGCCATGGTCTTTCTTTGCTTCTTCCACAGAGCCTACTTGTGAAATAATTTTATTCTATTTATCTATTACATCTGCCTCCCACCATTCAGGAAAGGGTATCCACATACATCAGTTTCAGTTTAACAATCCTGTGAGGCTGCGAGAAAGTGATTTGCCCAAGACTAGCAGTGGGAGATTCATGGCTGAGCAGGAATTTCAACCCATATTTCTCTGATCATAGTCCAACATTACTTATTTTCAATAATATACTTTCAAAATAAAATGTTGGCTTATTTCATCACAAGAAATGGAAAATGTGGTTACAGAGTGTATTTTGTACCTAGGAAATAAGATGGAGAGAGGGCTGTTGTACTCCGGTTCTGCTTGCTGAATTTCCATGGGCATCTAGTTGGCCACTGTGATGAGCAGGCTATTCCTATGTTCTTAATCTTAATCCATATTTTACAGTTTTTTTAATTTAACTATATTTTTGTCTTTTAGTTTGAAGCAGCATGGGCTCTTACAAATATAGCATCTGGGACATTTCTGCACACCAAAGTGGTAATCGAGACTGGAGCTGTCCCAATTTTTATCAAGTTGCTGAACTCTGAACATGAAGATGTCCAGGAACAGGTAACTTCTGCCACCAACACATTGATCTGGTTTCGAAGTAATGTTAAACTGTGGCTTAGTGTTAATTTCCTGAGCCTGAGTCTTGTTCACAGAGTTTTGCTCAATGGGTTGATAGAAGCTGGGATTGTGGTTAAGGCTTCTCACCCTTAACCGTGATCTGCAGCCAAGGTTGGTTCTGTGGTTACAAATCTTACTTAAGTTACTTAACCACAGCCTCTCGTGCAGAAATGAATTGTTTCAGGCAAAACAAACTTTTCTCTGCCTGATAGAGCACGCTAATTTTATTTACTTTCATGGAGCTTTAGCCACTCTCCATTGATAGTTGTCTCCAGTAAAATAGGCACATGCTGAACCACTTGAATGGCCCCTGGGATGCAGTGTAGGTACCTGGACAATGCTGCGTATTATGAGATTTCCATACCCCTGGCAAGCTAGTTATCCATGGCAGTTATAAGCTTCTGATACATTCGTTCTTTCAGTGACTGCTCCTTTGCTATTGGGATTGTGTTTGGTGCTGGCATATAGGTGCCGTTGTTGTGCTGGGACTGAGCAGCCTAATTTATTATATTCTGTTGCAACTTTACAACAGATTGAGCTGCAGAGGTAAACTCTTAGGGTGGCGCTTTCCATTCTTTTATCGTAGTAAGCTTAATTTAGGTCATAGCTTCTTGTCATATGTTCTTGAGCTTTATTTTATTTTTTAAAAAAATGCTAATTCTGTAATGTGAAGACAGCAGTGTACAAGAGTTGCAGTTAAAGACTTTAAAAATGTATTAATGTTAATTTAACCCTTTGTTTCTAAGGCAGTGTGGGCTCTTGGTAATATTGCTGGAGACAATGCAGAATGTAGAGATTACGTGTTAAGCTGTGGAATACTTCCCCCTCTCTTACAGTAAGTACTGATAATCTCTGGCAATAAATATTAATTTTATACATGTCTAAACTTTGGAAATAGCTAGGCTTAATTTCAGGTTTTAAAAGGTTAGCCTGAAAACTGTTATGAATAATTAAGGCTGTAATCCCATGCACATCTTCCTGTAAAACCCATTTAACTCAATGACACTTACTGCTGAGCACACATGATTGTGCTATAATTTATGTAATTTAGATGCTGTATTCTATTTCAGATTTGTTTGTTTTTCTTGACAGACTGCTAACACATTCAAACAGACTTACGACGACTAGAAATGCAGTCTGGGCACTTTCAAACCTCTGTAGAGGCAAGAACCCACCTCCTGATTTCAGCAAGGTAGAGTCTAATTTCTACTCTGTGAGGTGCTATAATGGTCAAAGGCATAAATTGCTTTAAAACAACGTATTTCCTCATGAAAAGTCAATACAAACCAACCTTTCTGCAGTCTTAATTGTTGGGTCAATTTTTAGTCAGACTGTTTTGTTGTGGAATGAACTGAACTAATACCAAAGGAATGGTTTCAACTCTTTAGAAAGCTGCTTGCAACAGATATGAAATTTCTAAAAAGAGGACATTTCTGATAACGTGCCTTTTCTTCTTCTTTTTACACTCCTGAAGGTTCGTCTTTGCTTAGGTGTTTTGTCAAGGCTGTTGTTTAGCAGCGACCCAGATGTATTAGCAGATGCTTGCTGGGCCCTCTCTTACCTATCCGATGGACCAAACGATAAAATCCAAGCAGTTATTGACTCTGGAGTCTGCCGAAGATTAGTAGAACTTCTGATGTAAGTCCCTTTTTAATAGAAGAATTATGATACTAGGAATCTGCAGCCAAAGATATCAACAGTTGTGTTCGCAAACCAATGTGTCAAAGTAATGTAGTCTTTTTGTACCCCACTGTAACCCAACAGTTTTCCCTCTGTCCTTAGGACCTTTATGATTCCCCCACCCACCCAATACATCTGCAGTGATTGTCACAGCACCAACCTTTCCTCCTCTGCATTATCTTAAATATTCTGTGGCGCATTTGAAACTCTGCCAGATGCTAAGAAAGGAACTTGTAGAGTGTAGATATTTGAGAGGCATATAACCAGTCCAGTTTATTTTTATCTATTAGCAAAAACTGGATTTATGTTTGTACAATATAAGCAATAGGACCTGAAGCAAAATGTTGCAGTGTGGAGGGCTATCCCCCCCCCCCCGTTCTAAGGTACACCATGTCTTCCCCCTCCACAAACAGTCAGCATTCTGTGTCCCCTAAGTATGCTTAATCCTCATTCAGCTATTTTTGTGGGTTTTCCTGCTTTATTTCCTCCTCCCCCCCCCACCCCGCAAAAAACGTTCTTCTGTACTTCTACATACTTTGGAGTTCCCTGCCAGCCTGTTAACCCTTCACTCTTGTGTGTAGATAGTACTGTCTTGGCTATGTAAGAAATAGCACTGAATGAGTTTGTTATTTGAATGTACAAGTGGGACCTGAAAGGAACTGTTGCAGTGGGAACTCCTTCTGTGCCAGCCATGCAGACTGGATACTCAATTCCATTCCCCCTCCCTCCTGGTTTTCTCTTTCTCTCCTAACAGATATTCAACATGTTTTCCATCCCACCTCCCCAGTAAATCCTGGGGTTCCCCCAAACATATCAGAACCTTTACCTTATATCTCAGTAGTCCCTTCTGGGCTAAAGAGCTGTTATAACTCAACACCGGAATTTAGTATATAAATTGATAATAAGCCATAATCCAAACAGCTGCTGGTTTAGCTTGTGTGTTCAATCATCCATTCTTGTCTGTGTCTGAGACTTGCATGATGTGACATATCCAAACAAATAACCGTATTTTCCATGTATAAGACGCACCCATGTATAAGATACTCCCTATTTTGGGGGACTCCAAATTAAGAAAACACCCATAGCACTACCCATGTATAAGACGAGCCCCAATTTTAAACCAAATTTTTTGGTAAAAAAACCCCTAGTCTTATACACGGAAAAATAGGGTAATCTATTTTAGGGTCTAAGAATAATTTAACCTGCTCTATGTGCTTTTGCTTTCCCCAGGCACAATGACTACAAAGTGGTATCGCCTGCATTAAGAGCAGTTGGAAATATTGTTACTGGTGATGATATTCAAACACAGGTCAGTGGAGCTTTTTGAAAAACTTCAGTGGCAACGTGTAATGGCTTAACTTTGTTTTTTGGGTTGTTGTTTTTTTAAAAGAGATTGCAACAGTATACTTTGCTATTATTTTGCAATAGATATAGATGGTGCTGATTGAATGGATGGCATGTTATCCAGGCTTATGTATAGTCGAGGGGAAATCTGCCTGTCTTGCAGAAGAACTGTCCTTAAACGATCAAAAGAGCTATATTCTTTGCAGCAACTGACATTATTTCACTGAAATGAGTATTTTATTGCTTCACTAAGTTAGAAACTAAAGAATAGCAAAAATTAATAGGAATGCAGTTATATGCTAAAGTTACTGTGGCTGAGGTCAGACTTTTGTCATTCTGAATGTTTTAAAGCAGGGCATCATTAAAAGCAGACCTTGGTGGTTTTATGGCAAAGTACAAATTAAGTAACAAAGTGCAAGTAGATAAATAGGGACCGCTTACTAGCGGGAAGGTAAACGGCGTTCCGTGTGCTGCGCTGGCTCGCCAGATGCAGCTTGTCACGCTGGCCCACGTGACCCGGAAGTGTCTGCGGACAGCGCTGGCTCCCGGCCTATAGAGTGAGATGAGCGCACAACCCTAGAGTCTGGCAAGACTGGCCCGAACGGGCAGGGGTACCTTTACCTTTACCTTACAAATTAAGAAGGTGTTGGCACCTGTACAAGTGTACAAGAAGATTGAACACCATTTTTAAAACAATCTTCTTTTGTAAGGTGCCCAGTCTGTAATCATCCCCCCCCAAAAAAAATATTCAATTACATAGTCTGTTTTTCTAGCACTTTGTAACTGCCCTCAGAATATAGAATTCCACTTTCTCATATTTCTGCTTACATTTTGAATTGAAACTGGAGGCGACTTTTGACAAGTGGAAGTTGTCTTCTGTTCACCAGAGGGCTGTTGTGTAATTTCCCACAGAGACTCATACAAGGAAAGCAAAACTAAATCCCAGGGTGATGATGCTCTTGCGTAACTGGAAGCATGAGAATGGCTATAGAACAGGGATGGAGAATCTCAGGCCTTGAGGCATAAAGTGATCTGCTAGACCTTTCTGTCTGACCCCAATGCTTCCCCAGGCCACACACACCCTTTCCTTCCTCTGTTGTCTCACTGCAGTGCACCCTTGAACTGTGACAATGCTGCTTGCTTGGCTGAATGGAAAGATGTAGGGGTGTGTGTGGAAGCCTCTGGCTTTTACATGGCAGTAATGTAGCCTTGGGACGCGGGTGGCGCTGTGGGTAAAAGCCTCAGCGCCTAGGGCTTGCCGATCGAAAGGTCGGTGGTTCGAATCCCGCGGCGGGGTGCGCTCCCGTTGCTCGGTCCCAGCGCCTGCCAACCTAGCAGTTCAAAAGCACCCCCGGGTGCCAAGTAGATAAATAGGGACTGCTTTCTAGCGGGAAGGTAAACGGCGTTTCCGTGTGTGGCTCTGGCTTGCCAGAGCAGCGATGTCGCGCTGGCCACATGACCCGGAAGTGTCTCCGGACAGCGCTGGCCCCCGGCCTCTTGAGTGAGATGGGCGCACAACCCTAGAGTCTGTCAAGACTGGCCCATACGGGCAGGGTACCTTTACCTTTACCTTTAATGTAGCCTACTTGACAAAGGTAAAATAAAAGTCACACCTGTTGATCTCTACACTTTCGTTTCTGGCCTCCCAGAAAGTTGCCCGCAAGAGACTATGACCCTCAAACTGCCAAAGCATTCCCCATCCCTGTTGTACAGCTTAACCGTTACAGCATTTTGCAAATTCTTATAGTGCTGGTGGAGAAGGGCTGTGAACTTATAATTGTTTTGCTGACAGACAACTCTTTGAATTTAGGTAGTAATGAGATTCTGTCAGATTTTCTGTAAGAGCTAAAACTCCCATTCTGTTTTTGTGCTCCATTTCCGCTGTATATTGTCTCTTGTGACTTTATTGGGATCTTAAATAGCACATTTTTTTCAAAAGCATATGATCATAACTTTTTCTGTAAATATACTGCATATGGCATTATAATATTTAAAAATAACTGCAATTGTAAGCATACATGTGAACATTTATTTCAACTATATGGACTGTGTTTGGATATATGGACTACATTTGATTATACACTGCTTAGGCAGAACTTTTCATCTTTCAAATTATTTTAGGTAATTCTAAATTGCTCTGCATTACCCTGTCTCTTACATTTGCTGAGTAGTCCCAAGGAATCTATACGGAAAGAAGCTTGCTGGACAGTTTCTAATATTACTGCAGGAAACAGAGGCCAAATTCAGGTAATATATTTGGGTCTTTCTGACAGTTCTGACATAGCAGTGGACCATGTTATATTTGCCTTTACTTAACTACTTCTCCATCTGTTCCTGATGCAAATCTTTGTATCTTCCACATGCTGAATTATGATGAATAGCTGGGATATATACCCCAGAATGTATGGGGAGGGTCGTAGATTGAACATCTTAACAAACACTGCATTAATATCAAAGGAAT